GCAGTAAAAAAAATCGCAGCATATCCACGAAGTGAATGATGATGAGTGGGGCAAAGCGTCCATTCGTCCGTCGATCCATCTGTCTACCTGTATGGCTGTGTGTCCGTTTGTCTGTTCATCCGTCCGTCCGTCCGTCCTTCCGCCTGGCAGGCAACCAGCTGAGTGAGTCATAGAACTAGGCAGTCAGCTACCAAGATATATGGGGGATCTATAAACCCACGACTTTAGGAACTATGGTCCTAAAAGATAACTCTTCTTTTTATGAAGATTTCTTTGGTGCCCTCTTGTCGTTTATTGAGACAGCGCTCTAAATAGGCGATGTAGACTTTGTCGCAGGGGAAAGGGACCTCGTACATGGCATTGTTGACGCATCACAAAACGTTTTCATGGTTCTTTCGGCAGGCGACCTTTTTTCTAGACACATATAATGCGACGGTTCAGCCAAGCGAGCTTCTTCGTGGACGAGAAAACCAACGGCATGTTGAACCAACAAGCCACAATTTTTAGTGTGTGTGTGACCCTGTACATATACTGAGCCATAGCTGGCCTGTTCCAGTTCACCGGGAACATACGGCATTTTTTGGTAGCGTTGTTTCATCTTGTTAAGAACCGTTTTAGAAAAGGACACGATAATTAACCCAAGGAAACCAGCACAAAAAGCCTCTACAGTTGTACATCATGACTATTTTGCACACTGTGAATGTATGACTTCCTAAGCGCAGATTCTGAACAGTGTTGCGGTGCCTCTCTTTATTGTGTTAGAATGGGCTGATTCCATGGGAGGAATTTTTTTCTGAGCAAGTGGAGCAGACTTGCAACACATATAATATTCATTAAAATTTAACAGCAGGTCTTGAAGTAAACGTAGTCTTTTCTCTATTTTTTTGAAGGCTTGAAAGACACACTTTAGCGCACGCTCATACTTGGTTCGGCACTTCCTCAAAATGATTATAAGAATCGTCAACATGAAGAAAATATTAGGGACTATGCCATTGTTGATACAACTCAAAGTATATTGTACTACTGGATCAAAGGATGATAAAGTATTTGGCACAACATGGCGCGATACAGAAACCAAAGCAGACAGTTTTTTTTCAACTCAGACCTGTTCTTCCAATACTATTAAAAGGGACAGAAAAAATAATTCTGAAGGCGCTAATAGGTTTTCAACTGACATCAACGCAGCATTTTAAAAAGCGATCACATCATTTTTGGTAATGCCCGGTTCACCTGCAGCAAACAACTCACATTGACGCACCGGGTTAAATAGCTCTACCACATATATAAAACAAGCAAAACTAGTGTGACTGTTGTGTTCAGGGAAACGGACATCAAGAGAACTTTTTGTGAATAAAAATCATTTATCTTGAGAGAAATCAATACATTCATCAGAACTTACTTACGCAATGCTGCTTACAGTAGCCGGGACAACCTCGACCTTAATACTATAAGAACTAGCAGTAACACAGATGACACCCCCCCCCCCCAGTAATGATAGAAGTTAGAAAAGCCTTGGAGAGCATGCAAAGAGGCAAAGCTGCTGGTAGGGATCAAGTAACATCAGATCTGCTGAAAGGTGGAGGACAGATTGTGTTAGAAAATCTAGCCTCCCTGTTTACGAGGTGCCTCCTGTAGCGAAGAGTACCAGAGTCTTGGAAGAATTCTAACATCATCTTAATACATAAGAAAGGAGATGACAAGGACTTGAAGAATAACAGGCCGATCAGCTTGCTCTTCGTAGTATACAAGCCCTTTACAAAGGTCATTGCTAACAGAGTAAAGGAAACATCAGAATTCAATCAACCAAAAGAACAAGCAGGATTTAGAACAGGCTACTCAACAATTGACCACATTCATACTATCAATCAGGTGATAGAGAAATGCTCAGAATAACGCCAACCACTATACATAGCTTCATATATTACGAGAAGGCGTTTTATTCAGTAGAAATACCAGCAGTCATGCAGACACTGCGACATCAGGGCGTCGATGAAGTATATATAAATATCCTGAAAGAAATATACAGGGGATCAACTGCTACAGTATTGCTTCATAAAGAAAGCAACAGAATACCAATCAAGAAGGGTGTAATGCAGGTGGGATACAATCTCCCTCAATGCTACTTACTTCTTGCTTACAGTAGGTTTTTCGAGGCCTAGAATGGGAACAGTTAGACTTTAGAAGTTAATGAAGAATACCTAGGTAACTTGCGCTTCGCCGATGACATTGCATTGCTGAGTAACTCAGAGGACGAATTTAAACTCATAATTACGGAGTTAGACAAGGAGAGCAGAAAGCTGCGTCTTAAAATTTATCCGAAGGAAACGAATGTAATGTACAACAAACTCGGAAGAGAGCAGCGCTTCGAGATAGGTAATAGTGCACTTCTAGTTGTAAAACACTATGTCTACTTAGGGCAGGTAATAACCGCGGAGCCGGACCATGAGATTCAAGTAACTAGAAGAATAAGAAAGGGGTGGAGCACATTTGGCAATCACTCTCATGTCATGACAGATAGATTGCCACTATCCTTCAAGAGGAAGGTATATAACAGCTGAATCTTGCCGGTACTTTGCTATGGAGCAGAAACCTGGAGACTCACAAAGAGGGTTTAGCTTAAATTGACGATTACACAGCGAGCAATTAAAAGAAAAAATGGTAGGTGTAACCTTAATAGACAATAAGAGAGCAGAATGGATAAGGGAACAAATGGTGGTTAAGGATATCATAGTTGAAATCAAGAAGAGGAAATGGACATGGGCCGGGCATGTAGCGCGTAGAAAGGATTACAGTTGGTCATTAAGCGTAACAGAATGGATTCCCAGAGACGGCAAGCGGGTTAGGGGGAGACAGAAGGTTAGGTGGGCAGATGAGATTAAGAAGTTTGCGGGGGTAAACTGGCCGCAGCAAGCACAAGACCAAGCTGACTGGCGGAACATGGGAGAGGCCTTTGTCCTGCAGTGGACGTAGTCAGGCTGATGATGATGATTATAATGACGCAATGCTGCTTGGTGTCCTTTTAATTCACAATAAAACGAAATGGGGCTTCTGGTTTATGCGTCTTAACGCTGAAGAAAAGACTTAAAGCAGCACTGCCGCTGTTAGCTAAATTTATTTGGGAGTTTACCAGATCTAAGCACTTGCGAATTTTCACTGCTTTACTCTTATTCCGGTGTTCCTTCTTTTACGAAAAAGAACTTTTTTGATAGCCTCTGCAACCTTTTGATTGCCTGGTTTTTGGTAAGGCAACAAAGCCGCCAACCTTATCTAGTCGTAAGACACACAGGTCATTCTGCCTAAGAAATTACCAACACTTTCCAAACTGTCTTTAGCAACACTAGGCACAGTTTTTCTAACTTTCTTTTGAGAAAGTCAACATCCTTCTAACACTGCGTTTTTGGTCTTTCTCAAGTGCCTTCTCTACCATCCGACAATTCAAGGCCGCGAGTTTTCGTGGTGGAACACGACGCTCCAGTACAACCTTGAGACCCTATTCTAAAATATTTCCAATATTGATAGGGATGGAAGCTCCTCCCATGGCAATTAGGCTGCCCGTGCGGCATTCTGGCTTTTTAGGCTTTGCAAGGCTCCAAGAATCCCCCTAATTTGTAGCTCTACCTGATAGCTGTCCATCACACGGCGTCCCGTTCTAGAGAAAACTGCCCCTTCGCCACCCAAGCAGGGTACCAGGAAAACGTAGCCCCTCAACCAGTCTAAGTGTAAACGTAAATGCCGCCAAAGTTCGACTCTTAAAATTTTCACCACTCTTTTCACATGACCTCAAAGTGGCGGAATAGAACAAAGTAAGGCACCTACTTCGGGAAAGACGACACTCTTCCTGAGGCAAAAACCAACAAACCATTTCTGTTTCAAAGCACCAACTAGTCGAGCAATGAACTCGTTTGAAGATACTTTTGCTTCATATTTCATTTACCTGGTGCACATAGTGATCTAAGCACTCATGTGTCTCACTCCTCACCACCTAATGATTTGCTTAAATTATTTATTATTAAACATTGTACTTCCCTCGAAGGAACAACCTTCGTCGTTTTATTTAGACCCAGGAGAGCTTATACCGAGTAAATAACCACAGCAGATTGTTATTGAATTGAACCAACTTTGACGAGCAAGTTCGGTATGATATAGCAAACAAGCACTTGGAGTCTAAGGTCACTCCTTGCAGACGCTTCGCGCAGACGTTTTTTTTTTCTTTCTTATGTCATTCAACTAGGCAATCTTCTTTCGGTTTAACAGTTCTTAAGAAAAGAATGAAATATTGAACAGTCTGGAAACAAATGCCCCACCGTGGAAGTCCTGTGGCTAAGGTACTCGGCTGCCGACTCGGCTTCATTTTCGATGGATTCGAGAATGCTGAAGGCCCACGAGATTTCCGGAGCCCTCAACAACGGCGTCTATCATAACTGCATGATTGTGTTGGAACGTTAAATCCCATATATCAATCAAGTCTGGAAACAAACGATTGAATGAATTAATGAAGCCGTCTGGGGCTTCGGACGCCGAAGGCGCGATATTATTACACGGCGTGCTACAGGTGAGAGCTCCGAAAACTTATACAATATAGGGTTGCTCAGACTTCGTTGATATGACACAATATAGGGATCTCTACGTACCATGTTGCCACAACCTAAGCGCGACCACCACGGATCGAAACAAACCCGCGCCTTTCAGGCCAGCAGCTGGGCGCCGTGATCACTGTGGCACCCAGGCAGTCAGAGGTATAATGAGTTAAGCAGATTTATTGTGTGATGAATAATGCTGCTGTAAGTACGTCGAAACACTGTTCTGGAACAAGCGTCGGAAGCACCGCTGTGGTAGCAGACGCGGGATTATACCTTGATTATCCTACATGGTTATCACTTGGACGTCATACAATCAGCCTTCTCATGAACACTGAGTGGTTAGAATTTGTGTGTATTGGTGTTCTTCATAGTAAGGGGCCACTGCGGGGGTACGTAGAATGATAAAAACTGTCGAATAAGATGAGTGGCGATACCATCGACATGATCACATCGGTGGGTTCGAATAGAAGAAAAGGTGAGTGGAGGGCTTCGTAATTGAGACAACAGATCATCTTTCTGTCAACAAATGAATTCATAAAAGAACGAATTCACTTGTAAAATTTACTAATAAAATTACGGTAATTAACTCTGCATGTTCAATTTTCTACCTACATTGCTGCAGTAAACGTCGTCTGCTCTCAAAATCGAGGCGCGTCTTGATTGTTAGTTTATATATTTTCCTGTAGCACTTACCCGAAGTGAGTATGCAAAATCTGCATGGATGCAAGCAAGCTACTTGTCACTAATTATCCTTTCAATGGAGTTAATGCCAGTTGAGCTTGATTGATTGATTGATTTGTGGGGTTTAACGTCCCAAAACCACCATTTGATTATGAGAGACGCCGTAGTGGAGGGCTCCGGAAATTTTGACCACCTGGGGTTCTTTAACGTGCACCCAAATCTGAGTACACGGGCCTACAACATTTCCAGTTGAGCTTGCCTGCCACGTTTCGTGCTTAGGTCAAGGGAGTGATCTGTAACCACTGTAGAACTCCATTTTGTCTGGGTGTTAAGAAACGTGATAGCTCGTATACAAAACTTAATTTTGACCCGAAAACACGACCGAACCACCTTATCGACTATGAAAGGACATAAGCACACCCTGTGTTTTAGAACGTGCCTTCGCTTGAGAAAGTTTTTGGGAGCGCCGTCTCTAGGCAAACAAGTCACTGAGCGTCAGCGATAATCAGTTGTAATTTTTGAAAAGTGTAGCGTCATTCTAGATCGAGCAGTGACGTAGTGTTCAACTCTGTCAAGTGAAGGATGAAATTCGAGTCTAGGAACGGTTATAAATCTGGGGTATAGACTTCCGTACTACACCTTGGTCTCATCACAAGCTACACTGTTTTCCGAGGGTTTTGACTAGCCACGTATACGACCCTCTTTAGAGAGACATTGTGTCTCTCTTGGTGGGTCAGAGTCGGCACCCAGAAGAATCCCCTGACTCTCTTAGGAACAATAAATGAATACTTTCTTAAAGAATACAGCTACCACTTTTGCGGAAGTCTGGCGACTGTTCGCAGTGACGCTTCTATGTGGGTCAAGCGGCTGCACGGCTATTGTTATCGCCGTCGTAGATGCAAGCGAAACTCAAAAACATTAAACAGAAACAACGCAAAAGAGCGCACAGCGGGGGCCGCAACAACGCGGGTCCTCTTAACATTGCGCTGATTTTAAATTGATCTATCATTCTTCCTCATTCGTGCTTAGCATACCAGCGATTTCCACTGTACGTGGGATCTGCTGTTTTTACCGTTACTAGTGAGACATGTCCTAAACATCTTAAAAGACTACCGTGTAGGTGTTGGCAGCATCACATCGAACGAGCCTCTATCTTAAACTACCGTATTTAGTGAATGTTCAAGCCAGCGGACGCGTGCTATGGTTGGAAATGGCCGGAAGCCATCTCATACAGAGCTGCTGCAGACGCCTAGCTAGCGCTTCGTAAATATAACGTACAAAAACAGAACACTCACTGTTACTTGGCGAACAATATTCCTGCCCACATCTTCATGATTATACCTTATTCCAAGCGTCACTTAGAGAACGGAGCATGTGGGACCGCCACTGAAGAAACACATGTAGTCTCGCATTCAGGCAATCATGACATGCAGCTAGCGCAACCATTGCAATGAAATCAAATGGTTGATAAGATAGAAAGAAAGAGAAGTGGAAGGTATTGGTAGTGGCACCGTAGCTGTGGCCGCACTGCTCGCAACACGCGACGCCTCCCTTCTGCGTACCCTAGGCTCGTTCCACGCTATTCCCCGCTAGAGCAACCCTAGCCCCGGTGAGCGTGCATCAACCCACGACAGCGCCGAACAACAAATCCGCGATAGGTATAACGTATTCACAGTAAAACCTTCGACACGAAAGGAACCTAAAACAAGCTTCGCTAGAGTTCTCTCACTCCCTTGCAAATGACAACTATATTTTAGGAAACGAAGCTTATTAATCCGTGGGTAATGCGTCTTCGATGTATGAAGTAGTAGTGGGTAATGTGCGCTGCATGGTAGTACTTGTATATAATGAATATACCACAAAAAGGTGCGAGATGGCATACTTAGAGTGTTCACTAAGTGGACGGATGAACAGACGGACACACAGACAAAAGGGCATACGAGCAGACGGACATACCTATGAAGAGACAACGGACAAACAGACGGACGGACGTCTGAACAGACAGATGGATAGACGGACAGACGGACAGAAGGAACGACGGATGGACGGACAGAGAGATGGACTCACAGACGGACGCACGTACGGACGATTACCAGTTGACCAATAAAACACTCCGAAGCTTCGTCTCATTCATCATCTTTCACCCTGTGGATATGCTGTGACTTTTTCTGCGTCTACTTTCCAAAAGGATTCAATTGAGTACCCAAAAAAGTGGCATGTCCGAATTTTCTTTTGGCTGTAATTTTTTTGGAGTTGAGAAGTGGTACCGATATTGTTTTCTAGCTATAGGCACTTGAATTAGTTCTCTCATTGCCACGCCACTCAGCCGCGGTGGTAGAGTGGCTAAGGTACTCGGCTGCTGAATCTCAGGTCACGTGGTAGAATCTCGGCTGTGGCGGCTGCATTTTCGATGAAGGTGATATGCTGTAGGCCAGTGTGCTCAGATTCGGGTGCACGTAAAGAACCTCAGGTAGCCTAATTTTCCGGAACCCTCCACTGCGCCGGGTCGCATAATAGTATGGTTGGTCGTTTTGTGAAGTTAAACTCTACATATCAATTATTCAACTCTGATTGCTACTGCAGCCTATGTTCCTGTACGTTGCCCACCTGGCCCCGCACTACGGCACCATTCGGGTGAAACTGGAGGCGCCAGCTGAGTATCTTGTAGACTACGATTTCATTGGAGTAAGGAACCGTGAAATTTACGCAGGCAAGTGTCGACTTACATATGTGTAATGCTTTTGTTCAATGTGCGCTATTCGTATTAAGGGTGCTTTATTTGTATCAAAATTGAATCAACTCTACAAGCTTTACGTTGTCTGAACGACGTCATGCAGCAGGCTGCGGTATTCTGTCAAATCCCGGCTGCGGCGGCTGCATTTCTGATGGAGGCGGAAATGTTGTAGGCCCGCGTGCTCAGATTTGGGTGCACGTTAAAGAACCCCAGGTGGTCAAAATTTCCGGAGCCCTCCACTACGGCGTCTCTCATAATCATATAGTGGTTTTGGGAAGTTAAACCCCACATATCAATCAATCAATCAATCAAGGCTGCGGTATTCTGTGATGATTCGGTGTCGAAATTCTTTATGCGAAAGTTAAAAACAGTTACGGAAAAACTTTGGCAGATACCACGTACTTAAGGATCGAAGTCATGCGAAGCATGCGGAGGAAAGGTGACCGTGTAATAAATGAGGTTTAATTTATGTACAAAGGCTGCACGTACCGACATATTTGAAGAGTTGGAGATTTTTATATAACCAGTTGGTTGCACTTGCGCAACGATGCCAACTGGAACATGCGTATTAGCAACACCAGAAGCTGATATGAAGCGCTGATACTCAGGAGGATGCTGGCCCTGGACACTGATACATAAATCAACTTCAGCGCATGGCAAATGACCACAATTTACGTAAACCGGATACGACGGCAGTATCAAAAGGGCACATGTGTAATGTTTAACAAATTGAATAGGCAGCACTGCACCCACTAGTGACGGTCCACGAAGGTAAGCGTCAATTGGAAAAGTTGTTCAAAGACCTGGCGTAACTCTGTGCTGAAATGCTTCATTGCCATGGAGAATGCTTCGGTTCAATTCCAGCTGAGACCCTGACATTTATTCCTTGTATTCTTCGGGTCGACGCTACCAATGTCCGGTATTTATTAACGCTCGCGCGTTAAAACTACCCACGTGTGTTCTCGTCGTTCCTGGACAGATACTAAGCGTCAATCACCTGTGCCACATACCCGCATACCAGCGGCACAAACATGCCGGCAGGTATGTGTCACTGTCCAGCGGAAAGTGTTTGATAATGTACGTGACAAGATTGTGAGATTATTCATGTCTTAACCAGCAAGTCATATTCGTCAAATCATCTTATCCTCTCATGCTAATTTTGGTTCACGCCAAGTTAAAGGGCTGACCGCGAGAAAACCCACACGTAGGTGGCCAGGTAGACAGATAGATAGATACGCTCAAAGGTGCCGAAGTTCGCTAAGAAGTTCTTCGCGTGGAATAACGATGCTTGAAGAAATCATTTCTCAGTTATTTCAAATTTCCAATCGCGTCACCGTTTTTATATGCAAACAAATTTCGCATAGACCGTAACAACTGTAACAGCCCTGACAATTTACTGAACAGTATTATTAGCGTATATATATATATATATATATATATATATATATATATATATATATATATATATATATATATATAGCATGCATCAGATAGTAGAAAATGCGCTGCATTACTCTAAGCTTCAGCAGTTTCCAGATAAAAAAGCCCCTCGCAGCCTTTTTTCTCGTTCTGAGCCCTTTACGGCTTCTGGCTGTCATCCCATGTAATCGCTTGGTGTCACGCCCACACTGCAAAAATATTCGAGAACAGGGAGCTGCGTGTCAAGTCAGTAACAAAATATTGGAAAGAGTGTCCTTTTTTTTTACCATGGGCGCCAAGGTGGCTGAACATTTCGAATGCCACCGTCATTGACAGGCTAATTCCCGTTTCCAAGCATGTGAAACGATTTGATGGGACAGACAGAGCTCTTAACGCACGGCTCAATGGTAGCAGTGTTCTGAAAACCTTCCGTTTTGTAGATGATTATCTTGTGATTCTCAAGCGCAATGCAGATAACTTTCAAGTTGCAACAAGTCACCTCATATCATTATTTAAAGAGTGCCTGTCGCCTCTGTGTATCACACATGAAATGCCAGAAGACAACAGCATTCGTTTTTTAGATCTCAGACTAACATTTGCCAATCAACATTCATGTTGGATGTACGAACCACGAGCACAAAAACCGTTGTTGCCGTACACATCGTCACACACTAAGTTAGTCAAGCGAAGCATTGTTCAAACATGTCTTTCCAACGCATTAGATAAATCATGTCACCACGTTGTCACTAGAAGTTTCTTGGCGCAGATTCGTCGGCTCGAAGCAGCAGGTTATCCACATAAGCTGCTCACATCGGTAGCGGAAGTAATTTACAGAAAAAAGAAGAAAAGCTGCCAGGAAAATGTTCAGCAGGCAAGCATGGAAACCGGTCGAGGCAAGAAGATTTCGGTCATACCATACATGCATAATATTTCACATCGTCTCAGGAAAATAGGGCAACAGTGCGGCGTTCGAGTGGTTTTTTCAGCACCTCACAAATTGTCATATCTTTCACGTGTCACCTGTCCTGTCAAAAAAAGGAAACGCCAGTGCACTACCAAGCATCGTAAGAAATTTCTAGATTGTTCACATAATGTCATTTATCGCATTCCACTTTCATGCGGGTGTTGCTATATAGGCCAAACTGGAAGGTGTCTAAATGACCGCCTCCGAGAGCACAAAAATAATGTGCGCAACGCCAAAGAAGGTTTTTTGGCCATTCATTGCAGTTCCTGTGGTTGCACACCCCTGTTTGAAGAAACAACAATCATCGGCAGACATCAGGACATGCGTACTCGTGAAATCATTGAAGCCGCTCATATCGCAAAAGAAGGGTCGCGATGCATCAGCATGGCTTCCATCGGGTTATCGGCCAAAGAATTATCTTTTCTAGAAGAGCGCATGTAACAATAACATGGAAGAATCTTTGTCATGCTGTAAATTTTTTCAGTTTTCTTGTTTCTGTTGTTTTTTCCGTATATATTTTCCGCTTCTGTGTTAATAAAAATTCAGTTGCTAGTCAGCGCTTGTCTGTGTCCCTTCTTTAGTATTCCCGTCTTGTGTTCGCGCTGTACGTTCTTCATCATGTGAAACGATGGCGAAAAACCCACACCATGATTTAGGCGCAGATCTACGTAAGAGATAAGCAGAGGCTAAACGTCAACGAATGCGAGGTAACCCTCAGCTAGGGGAGTCTCAGACCAACTAAATTTTTGTCACTGTCAGTGCTAACGCTCGCTCGTACATATAAATCAACGTTCCACCAGAGTTCAGGGCATTGTGTTTGTGCAGGGCAGGGTTGGTTGCGTCACATGTGAGTGAGAGCGCGTCGATGTCATTGGCTGGGAGACGTGGTAGACGTGCCAGCAGCAAACGTCTCGTCTCAACACCCACCAGGACACCTTAGCATGGTAATCAAGAGGCTTCTGAGGCACCACCCCATGAACCAAATCAGCTTATAAAGATATTTCTGCCTCCGTGAGGTGCCTCATAGGACTTACTCTCATCCCAACAAATGAAGCAGGCACAATAACTACCCGATGGCAAAGAGTAGGCAATCGTTGACGGAGAGGGTCATGATTGGCTGCGTGGTACGCATCCGACAGGCCCAAGAATAGAGAGGAGAGCCACTGCACAGACGTAATCTATGTGTCAGTATAGAAAAGTAGGTCAGTAACTGTGACTCAGACAAACACCAACGAAGCGTCAGCAAAGGCGTGCACGTGAATGCTCAAGTCTGCTTTTCACTTCGAACAGCTTTCACGGCGCCAAACTGCCTGTATTTTTTAATTACATCTCAGAAGTGTTCAACATTTCAAATAAAGTTTTCACTCAGTTGCAGCGACCTCTCTCATGGTGATTCAAACTTAGGCATACAGACGTCTGTTAAACTAACAAAGACCGCTATTCAAGTACTGGTTGCATATTGTTGAAATTCGGCACGTTTATTTAGGTGCAATAGAAAACAACACGTGTGAATTTCCATGGAGTTTAGTAGGTTTCGTAGAAGTTGTGATACTGTACTTTAAAAAGTAGGCTGGACCCTTGACATAGCACTAAGAGAGCTCGTGTGATGTAAAAATAGAGGGTGACCTTGACAAATCATTACTAAAATTACCTTGGCCTATACAGCTTACGCACGCTGCAACGCTTTAAAGAAAGCGTACCCCACGGTTCTTAGAACATTATTTCTATGTATGTGGCTTACCTTTATTGCTTTCCTAGGGTTATGAAAGTGATTGTATGGATAAGAAGCTCAGCGGGCGCTACAGATCTCTCGATACTTCTGTTGGGTACAAGTATACCAAGTGAGCCTCCTGCAATTGTGGTACTGAAGGACAATGAGTAAACGCGTAGAGGGTCTGATGAAACATATCTGGAGACTCCGTGTACGTTGTCTGTGGTCATTCGTGTTGTTTAGGTGAATGCGAGTCTGTAGCACATTGGCTCAGCGATGAAATATCTGTAGTTATTGGCAGCTTGGTCGTAGAGCTGAGCGCCTTCCATGCTATTTTTACAGCTGCTGAGGGGAGTTGGCAGTAGGTATTATGTATTTTATGTGCTTTTTTTCATAAGACGGCCACCTGGCTTCAGAACACAAAAAATAAGGTTTTGTCACTTAGAAGATTAGCAACAATGCCTTTGTCTTCCGACTTTCCGAAACAAATGGTTTGCCGTATTAAAACAGAAACTATAATCGATACTCCTCTTTTATTCCATTTTTTTACTGTTGGTAGAGAGATCCCTTTGAGCGATCACCATTCTCCTTACTATCTATATCAGGGTCAAAGTGATTGGCAAAACCTGCAACAGGCTCCCTCTGGCATATTCACACCAGCATCTGTTGCAGCTTCAGTAGAAAAAAAAGACATTATTTTAGAAAATGCATCTTTAATTCTCTGTGGCAATTCACGATTTATAAGCATGCGTGTGCTGCCGACAAAGTTTCATTGTACTGTAAAAATACATCTAGATTTGCTTAGATCTCCCAACCAAACTATGCACTCTACAGACTTCTCGCGTGATGCAACGATTATTTTGTTACTTCTGAAGCACAAGCAATTCGTTTTTTTTCAACGTATAATGAGTGATGCCTGCAAAAGTTTAGTAAAAGGAGTACTGACCGCATACTTTCCACGGGTTTTGTTGTCCTAAAGTTTTACGATTCATAGAACGAAAAATAAAAAAACAGAGTCAACATACGAAGTTTGATTTATATTGATGCAACCCTTGGTATTTGAAATTCTCTTGACCAGAAACCAGAGTGCTGTGCTAAGTTTTTTATTCCCGAATAAAGAAGTGTACTTTGTAAACTGCACTAGTCCCGAAGAGGAGCTTGTTGCGCGGAAAATACGCTGCCAGTGTCGGCTTTAGCGTCAGCGTTGAGCATTATGAGCGAAAAAGTGTCATCGTGTCCGTGCTCAAATAATCAAGAAACATGACAATAAAACAGAATAAGAAATAATTGGTGCGAGTGATGCTCGAACACAATCTGTATGCACGGCAAGCAGCTGTTTGCTCCAGAACAAGAATACTTTGTTTTCTTTATAGCGTGAAAAGATTTTCATCAAATCTGTCAAGTATTCCATGCAGTTACCTGAGAATTGCGCTCTTATGAAGACACGGAAAAAGCACAATAGAAAAGAAGAATTATTGCTAGTGGACAACTTTGCTTGTAGGAACCTTTCCAGGGCAGCTTCAAATGGCCATTGGAATGAGCGCAGTCATTCATTGCTTTGGAGCACGGTGGAGGCATGAACCAAAATTCCGAAGCCAGGCTACCAATCCAGAAGGCGACGCACGCTGTTGCTAATTACGTTATCACGTTGTACTCCTGACAGCTTAGATAAAGCGTGCTTTGAGGTCCTACAAAGCAAATGTTTAGCAGATCACAAGTAGGGTGTCGCAGTTGTCTGCCAATGCCACCCCCAGTGTCCGCAACCGATATCACTCATAATACAACAAACAATAATAAATAGTTCAAGACACATCTCAGTTCGAACTAGGTCCTATTCATTGCATCTGAGTATTACAGCACCCAATGTCACTAATCATAATAAAAAACAGTAAAAATCACTATTCAAGAAATATTGCAGTTCAAAAGAGAGTCATATCTGTGGCATCCTCGTATTTTGCCAGAGACTCATGCTACAGCTCGAAACTCCGTTGCGAAAATGCCCTATACAATTGTACTGTTGTAAAGAAGCTAGAGTAACATGTGAAATGTGGCGGTGTAGTAGAGTAAGATGACAACCAGGTATCACACAATACGAAGTCTGAAAGATGGTGTGATATAATTCAAACTGCATAAAAACAAGGTCGTTCCGTGCTTCTAGCCCATAACGAAGGGCTCAGCCATATTCATTTACTGTCATGAGCCACCGCACCAATTTATATCGTGGGGAGTACTATGTAGGCGTTGTTTATTAGCTGCCCAGGGTAGTCTACGATACCCTCTATACTAACCCCTCAGCACGCTTTCATTGTGACAGTGCTGTGTTTTCTGCGCAGGTCTGGCGTTTTTTTATTTTGCCCTGCAATGACGTTGCGGTCGCTTGTTTCTTGAATAAAGAAATAATTTTAACGTCAAGTGAATCGATGTCACTATTTCACACCAAGGGAAATAAAGGAGTGTTTTAAACGAATACACGTACAAGATAATTCGTTTTTCTTTTGGCAATCTGATACATTAGCAGTCGCTATTAAGTCGCTAGAAATCACCATCACCCACCTTTTTTTTGATCAAGTATACATTAAAATGCATTCAAGTTACGCGGATTTGGTGCACTTATGAAGAGTAGTTAAGATTCGCTTTTCAGCTGAATTTACCATTTCTTTTATTTACTGCATGGATTATTTATCATTCAGTCGTTTAAAAATGAGTGAAAGGTATTTAAATGCCACACCAGCTTTATTTAAAGCTGTTTGTGGGTCAAGAGAAACAAACACCAAGAGAATCACATTCATGATTGTGACGAGATGTGCGAGATGATCAGTGTGTTCAAGCTACCGCATTTCTAAAAAACAACATTACTACATTCCCATACAGGTATGGTGTCAGCACTGGACAAGTCTGTCGGGAAAATTTTCAAGGCACTGCATGAGAGAGGAATGCTGAACGACACGTTCCTGTCATTCAGCTCAGACAATGGGGCAGCAGCAACATACTGGGATACAGACGTTGCATCGTCGTATCCCTTAAGGGGCGAAAAATCTACCCTCTGGGAAGGTGGCGTACATGTACCGGGGTTCATATGGACTGCGCAGTCGATGTGGAGAGGACGAGGATCTCGATATGACCACATTTTTCATGCCACTGACTGGCTGCCAACACTCTACGAAATGGCAGGTAAAACTACCAAGCAGAGTATGAGATCACTTGATGTACATTCACTGGTAATACCATAAAGTTGATAGACAGCATTTTTTTATCTAGTAATCGCATGGATACATCAGGGTGATTTCGCTTACAAATGATAGTGTATACTATAGCTGCCACTGTGTCCTGTGTTTATAAAGAGTGAACATTTGAGTGTTCTGTATAGTTCATGCAGTGAGAAAACTCTTTTAGCTAAATGTTTTAAAAAGCAATAGCATCAATGAGTATAGCACGAACACACACACAGAACAAGCACATACGTGCACATGTGTTCAGCATTTTTGTGTGCGTGCCGATCTTTAGCGTACAAGAAGTATCACAGTTGCTCTGTAAAACTTTTAACTAATCCGACAATACTATTCTTAAAACGTGCTTCAACTGCATGGTACGAGAGATTCAATAATTATGTTATATTTCTCAGTGCGAGTTGCCCGCAGTCCTCCCTAAATTAAAACTATGGGGAAGTTTTCCATATAGTGTAAGACCTATGTCCATGCAGGGGGAGAAGTTTCCAAGCTTGGTGGAATCGATGGTGTCAGCCACCTGCGGTCCTTAGCTGACCCTCTTGCCTACCCGCCTCGAAACGAGGTCCTGTTGAACATTGATCCCATAGAAGGAAACGAGGCTATTATCCACGATTCATACAAGCTTCTCTATGGAGCCTTTCCAAGCGGCACATCGCAGTGGTTGGATGTACCCGGCAGCAGGCTACCGACAGCAGAAGAGACAGATCTGGCGCATGAAAGCTGCATTAAGGGCATGTCTTATAAGGTAACGCAAGGCATGTACTTGTGCCCGAATTATTTCTGGTGCGTGATCTACATAAGTGTCGAGTCAGCGGTAGTCTTGTAATTATCGCGACAATTGTGACGTATTAACAGGCCTCATCAAAAAAAAAGATCAGTACCTTTTTGCAGCAAGGTAAGTTGTCATGCAACCAGGAGGAATGACATGAGTGGCCAACTAAAATGAAATGCAACATATATTGGATATTGAATACTGTATTGAAAATAGTGGTGTCCGCTACATAGGAGCAGTCACGCAGTGCTATGCATATTGACACTTCGGAAATATGTGCACAGAACAGCCTTCTTTACCCCTTTTCAGCGTTGTATACTCCTTTTCAAGTTTGACTACAAGTTTGTTTCATTTCTCAAACTTTTTTCATTGTTTATATATTACTTTAAATACATTTACCTATGGTTTATGCAGATTCTTAAGACGGCTGGTTTTAGTCCGAACTGTGGTGAAGGAGGGGGTGTCTACTCAACGCCCGTGAACTGCGGGAACCGAAACACAAGCAAGGTTCCATGTGACTCCAGAGTGGCACCTTGCCTGTACAACGTAAACATTGACCCATGCGAGTACTATAACATCGCCAACGAAAACCCAGAGGTAAATATATCTTTGTGGCAGTCAACTAGCATGCATTGCAAGCAACACACATTGTGACATGTGCTCGAATGACCGGAGCAAATAAAAGCTATCGACAAGACTTTGGTAATGAAATCATTCGGGCGCTAGTACATTGATTGATTTGTGGGGTTTAACGTCCCAAAACCACCATATGATTATGAGAGACGCCGTAGTGGAAGGCTCCGGAAATTTAGACCACCTGGGGTTCTTTAACGTGCACCCAAATCTGAGCACACGGTCGGGCGCTAGTACAAACTATTCTTTCAAAGGAATGCACTTATTGTGGCACAGTTATAGTTTTAGTTCTGGCTATTAGTAAAAATGAACGTAGGAAATGAAAGCTGCCAACAAACATTTTGCAACCAATATAGTGGCCGAATATTTCAAATATTCTCATAACATTTTTGCATTTCTTCAGCCAGAAAATTTTGGTACAGCAAGTACATTCGAACTAAAGAAGCAGTAGTCATTTTTAGAAATTCATATTTTCTACACACCAATAACATTGAATAGTGCGTGTTTATATGCACATAAGCCTAAGGTCATCATCGATTCATTACGCCAGGACCGAGGTGAAGAACTGTACTGTCACTTTCTTCTACAATTGCTCCATGAGAAGAAGAAGGCAGCGTCAGAAAACGGCTTTTATTTTTCTGCCTCCTAGAACCCGAGGAATCAAGGAGCCCTAGGGCTTTCTCGCTTGCAGTTAATAGCAAAATTTTCAGTTTTCTGGCATGTTTGACCAGAGGGTGCCTTGCCTTTTGAGCGATACGTCGACGCGTTGTGTCCCATCCGGTCACACAGAGATAAATTTGTTTAAGGAGATCTCACAGGATCCCATCCTTGTCTACTCTCGGCTTGCGTAAATAGACATGCAGACATTTCTCGGACGCAACACAAATGTTTCTGAATATGCGCTTCCATAAAATGGTCGCATGCTTCAGCCATCTTCGCTGAAATTCGCAGTTTAGTTATTTTAGAATCACCGCCAGATTGACATGGCGACTGTTCAAGAACTTCTCGGCTGCGAAAATGTCCCTCTTAGCGTCAAATGTTTTTTCTATTCGGAAATTTAAATTATTTGATCGAAGTCTCTTAGAAGCTGAACAGTGAATTGGCTGCATGACTCGATGTCATTGCGCCACCACGAGCGAAACTTCTCATGGTAGCCATCTGCCGTGAAACAAAATGGTCACAACAAAGCCATTTCTTAATTGTCATAGTTTGGAATCAGCGGGGGACAGTCGTCCGTGCACATTGAATGCTAGAAGCATGCTCAATGCGGTAGCCCACTTGTCAATGCGGTAGCCCACCTGCCCGGTTGCCATCACTTCGAAACACCGGAAATACGCATCCAGGTCTTTTCGATTCTCATCACAAAGAAACATAATGATTCGTGTTCCGTGTGTACATACTTGAAGGGCAGGAAATGATCGCTGATAGCGGCTGTTTCTACGCGTGCGCCTGAACCCACTTCGACTTTTGTCAGACGCCGGCAAATCAACAAGTTTTTCCTCCAAAGCTGCCTTCTCACGAGTAAAATGTAATTCTTGTTGTCGAGCCCTCTCCGCGCGCCCAGCCATCTCTCGAGTCAAATCTGCTTTTTTTCAGGCGCAATGCTGGTGTTCGGTCTGCTCGCGCCTTGCAGCACGTTCAGCGACCAGGTTCCACTCTAGCACGCAGCTTCTTCTCCTCCACCCACTTCTTTTAAGTGCATCCCCGGCTAATTCTAACCTCTTACTGGCACTCACATGATCTTTCAAATCCACCCATCCTGTACTCTGCTAAACAATACAATCAGCCTCGTCCTGCCGCAGACGCCATTACCATGGGAACGTGTGTTTCTCATGGCATGTATGGTTGGGAGCAAGAACGGTTCCAAGAATCGACGAGACTGTTTGCAGGTTTAGAATTAAAACATTATACACATACTAACCACACACACTAAAAAAAATGGCAGATCCCACGTACAGTGGCAATCGATGATATGCGAAGCACGATTGAGGAAGCTTGATATGCCACTTTAAAACCACCACAATGCTAAGACGTGGAGGTAAATTATGCCGTACACCACTTCCGTGTCATGATTATCATGTTTGGGTGTTTCGTTTACCTTCTTCATCTATTCACGTCACGTGATGCCAAATTTATAATATGTCGAGCTAGCTAAACGGCCACGAGCACGCTATGAGCGTGGTATGTTGTCATGTTCTTACCTGACACGCGTCTCATCGTTATCATGTTTTACCAGTCATATACCTTTGTCATCCATTGACGTCACGTAACGCCAACTTTGGTATATGTGCACCTAGCGAAACAGCCTCGAATGCATCATTAAGGGCCCAACATACACTGTGCCCAGCGCGCACGCTGGGCACAGTGACGCTACGTAAGCAAAACGCGAGCACTCTATTGTCTGACGCCAAGCGCGACCGGCGCGACCAGCGTCCATCGTCGCGGCCCGGTAGCAACCGGCGTGAAATGTGACATGCTGCATTTGGTGCCAATGCAGCATGTCACAGCATTTGGCGCAGACAGCACTGCGTCTGCCTCTTTTACGAGATGGAGGGACGCCGTACGCGCTGAAACGCGCATGCGTCAATAGTAACGCAGCGCACGCCTGTGGCAGGACCGGCGACTGGCGTGGCCACGCGACGAAATTAACGCCAGGGCGCACGTGCTCCGGGTCACGTCGAAGTGTTTCGGTGCCTTGACTGTGGCATGTAGTCATGTTCCCACATGACACGCATCTCATGATTATCCTTTTCACACCAGTCACATACCTTTGTCATCCATTGACGTCCCGTAATATAACTTGGCGTCTGTGAAGCAATAGCGAAACGGTCAGGAGGGCATCATGAGTGTGGCATGTCGTCATGTTGTTACATGAAACACATGTCGTGATTATCAGGTTTGGATGTGTCACTTACCTATGTCGCCTGGTCGCGTCACGTAATACCAAATTGGTATATGTGAAGCTAGCGAAACGGCCGCGAGCGCATCATGAGCGTAACATGAAGTCATGTTTTAACTTGACACGCATCTCATGTTTATCTTGTTTGCACCAGTCTGATACATTCGTCATCCATTCTCGTTGAGTAATGCCAAATGTCGTATAAGCAACGCTAGCGAAACTGCCGCCAGCGCATCATGAGCGTGGCATGTAGTCATGTTGTTACATGACACGCATGTCTTGATTCTCAAGTTAGGGTCTGTCGCTTGTCTTCGCCATTCAATCATGTCCTACCATACAAGTTTTGCAACATGTCATGTGAACGAAACCTCCGCAAAAGCTGCAAGACCATGAAAGGTATAACATGACATTCATGACATACATGTCAAGATTTTCATGTTGCGACTTATCAAATATGCTCGAAATATAGTCATGTTATGCCGCACCAAGTTTTGTATTGATACTTTTATCCAAGCGCTCATACGCTCAAGGTCGCTCAAGTTCGCGGAGAAATGCTTCGCATTTAACAAGCTAACTTAAGACAGCGAAAATATAAACTAGCGAATTATTGTTACCAAAAGTTATGCGCCCTGGCCTAACACAGGCTCGCCGACGTGCATGTCCATCGGATTCGGTAGCGCATTGCGCTGAGGCATGGCATCCAGTTGAGGTTCTGAGCGGGTAAGGGCCGGTTCGGAGAGTTGGCGCAGGTTGCTGGGAACTGGCGATGGATCTTGATGCTTGCCGCTACGAAGTGTTTTGAGGCGCAGGAAGTTGGCAGCCACGTGGAGGCCTTCAGCCTCCACTCGGGGACCGCTGAGTGACACTGAGGTATCACTCCCGGATCCGGCTTTCCGACTCTCTCGAACAACTCACGCCGTCTGGCTCTTCCTTTCTTGTTTCTCGCACTTCAGTGCTCGTGCCCATGCCTCTTTAGCGTGTGCCTCAGCGTCCGCATCATGTTTCCTTGCCGCACACGCCGGAGTAATCATTTGTTCGCGCAACGTGCGATTTTAGTTTAGGCAGCAAAATAACATAGTCGCTAAACCTATATCGGAGTCCTGAAGCACTCCTCTCGCATGATGAAAACTCAATTTCGAAAAAAGAGATTTGTGAATACCTCAGATAATTTTGTGGTTTTGCATGCAAGTGCAAATTACATTGATGCGACAAACTTTTTTGAACAGCGTCATTTGAAAACAGCCTTCTTCTCGGTGGTTGCTGGGCACAAAATCACGGCTCCTTCACGTGTGCAGGCAAAGTACTATACAGGAGTGCAATATTCGTTAATGTATTTCTTAAAAGAAGCAGGATACTTAGGGTTCCTTGATGCGTGCGCCCCAAACCTCCGCTTTGGAGAGTGGAGACAAGCACGTTGCAATCTACGAGTCCTCCATTACAATGCACACTCTCCGCAAGCCGCCTATAGCCACGACGGCCAGCCAACGAGTGTTGCGCGGCTGCATACAGAGTTTGTCCTGTCGAAACGTGTGGTACTCAAACAAAATGAGAGAAATACAAAGTTTCTTCATCGGCAGTTTGAAGGTATTAGATATCTAGTCTCTATTCTTGTTTTTAAAGTGACATTAGCTGCTAGATTTGCTCGCAGCAGAAAAGTACCTTCGACGCAAGCTGCGTAGACACCTCCAAACAGCGTCTTTTTGGGCTAGGCACTAACTATTTGTATAGGTTAAAAATGGGAAACACCCGCACCTAACTCACATGACCTCTCAATGCGTCTGTGTGTTGTGTGCATTCCACAAGGGTGTAAAAGCAGTTTCCCATTTGCCAGCTGGCTGAAAAAAAAAAGAAAAATACGGGCTGTCCAGAAAAAAGAGAAACACCACAGCATATTCACGGAGTGAATGATGGTCTCTGTGTGGGACGAAGCGTCTATCTGTGCTTTCGTTCGTGCTTCTATCCGCGTGTCCGTGCGTCCATTTAAACGTCCATTCGTTCAGCATATTCACGGAGCACAGCATATCACGCACTGGCAAACGCTTTGTTCCACTCATTATCATTCATGATGAGTGAGCCTAAGCGTACGTCCTTCCGTCTGTTCTTGCTTCTGTCCATTCGTGCATCTGTCTGTCCGTCTGTTCATCTGTCTGTCACTCACACTAGCGCCACATGCTGAGTGAATCAAACAACTAGGTGGTTACGAACCGGTCACAGACATGAACGGACAAACCCACGGCTTTAGAAGCTTCAGCCCTAAAATTGTGATTGCGTACCAGTTTTTGAATTATTCAATAGCTACCTTATTTGAAGACCACACCCTGCAATACACAGTATATTGTGCGTTGTTTTTATCTATTATATCTCACTACAAACAGCAGATTGTCGCTAAACTGTTCAGAATTTATCATACAATTTGGTTATCTACATGTGGCTTTTATAGCAATAAATCATGACTCGCATGCAGGAATTCACTGTCAAACCAGGTTTAGCGTGTTTTCTATAAGAAAATATGGTGGATTAGCAATTTTAAAACGTTCATTGATATCATTTAAATGAAGCGACCACACGGCTTTACAACAATGAGCAAGCAAACTGCATTTATTAAACAATTTCGAATACCACAGCTTTATTTGGACGATAACTTCATTATACTTGAAAAGCAAGCGTTATAACTAACTGCAAGCTAACCACTGCACATGTCTTCCACTTCCACTTGTTCTTGTTGTTTCGATCTGACGCAGGTGAATGCGCAGCTTTACTCGTGCACAACTTGATATCAATACTTTTTTCAGAGAACCTTTCTATTGCTGGCATACGTGCACGCAGCTCTTCGCCCTTTTGATTTCATATTCAGTTACAGCTTTGAGAGGGGACATCAGGGTGAACAGGTTGCCTGCTCAAGTCGTGATTCCTTTGAAGTTCTTTTTACAAGTTATGAGCGATCTCATACCCTCACCACCCAGATAACTCAAGTTTTCGCGATCCTGAACATACTCCTTCAGTGCAGTTAACTATGTGTGTTCATGGCTCACTGACTCTTCATTGCAGCTCTGCACTGCCCAGAATCTCATTTGTTTAAGGTTTCTTGCACAAGACATTCACCTATACGGTGCAATATGCTACATTCTATTGAAGCCAACGTTTCGATGAAAATATTTTCGTCATCATCAATTTCTTCTTCAGCATCTCCACGACAATTTATTTTCTCTTGGGAAATGATGTCAGCCAGGTACTTTGAGTATTCATTTTCATAACTAGAGTTCACCACATTGTGCAAAAACTGGCTGACGCATATAAGCTTTAAAGCGCATTGAATGTCGTAGTGGTCGCACAGACGGACCGACGCACGGATGAACACATGAATGGACAGGCGCACGGACAGAAGGACGGACACACGTAAGGACGGATGGACTGATGAACGCTTTGCCCCACTCATCATCATTTACTCTGTCGATATGCTGTGACACTATTTAAATTGACATGCAATGCAATGCAACTAGCGAATATGACTGCGCCGACTACGATGAAACGTGACATACGACTCACGGCGTAAAGGGCTTTGCCCCTAGAAGAAATGATTGAATGCTCCGGCAGCAACAAGTGCACAACGTAGGCACATATCTTCGTGCAATCGCAGCTTGTGTACAAGAAGCGATTGAGAACAACGCATTTGATATTATTCAAAATGAACGAGTTAAACACGCATGTACACAGCATGCACATGAACGTGTATTGCACCCGGTGCACTGGTTATCGCAACCGATTCCGATCGGAATCAAATTTATCAACAGTGATTAGCACCTTTCTGCAGCTGGTGTAAGAGAGTCAAACACATCAATCCTTATCGTGATTGAAAGTGCCCGTGTGACAGCGCTTTAAGGGATAATTCTCGAAATGCTGAAATGGCATAAATTACGCTGCACAAACACTGACTAGTCTGTGGGTTGCCACTTCTAGCGCTTGATTTTTACAAGCCACATGAGTCACCTTTTCGAATTTTTCGGAAGTCTGAACATCCTGTAGCCATTTCGCCAGTGGTGTGTGCACTGTGGCATGCAACACCGAGGTATTTTGCCCTAGAAAACGCTGCGCACATGTCTGACTCAACCAGCCGCGACGACACTTGGAAAGCCGAATGGCGGACGTTGATCAGAAGGCCGCACTTACCACTTCATAGAGTGGCTCTACCCTCCAAAGAGGTGAGCACATCGAGGAACCCCAAGTATACCAGCATCATAGCGCCTCCTGTTGGTGAAAGCCAACAATAGCTATATGCGATCAAAAATGAAACGAGGGGCGACATTGTCTCACTCTCTTTCATTTGTTCCTGTGTGTCTGAACACCCTCTTCATTATTTCAGTGTGCAATACCCAGCCGCAAGATTGCTTACGTTTGCGCTACTTTGCTTAAGCTTACTACTACACTAGTTCTAGCAAATGACCTTCTAAACTAGGTGATTTGAAGCTCTGACAACAAAACATCATTGGTTGAATTCAAGAAATGGTGGAGGACTTTGATGTGAAATCAGTATGCTCGAGCTCGGCGTCTTCTGTTTGCGTAGAACACTAAACGCAGCAGCTGCGCCGTCCTGTTTCTGCAAACTGAAGCAACGTGAATAAAGACAATGTACTGCTTTAAATAAATTAGACACCTTCTTAGAAATTCTGTCTAGTACAAATTCATCGTTCTTTTATGTTGTGTTCCTCGCAAGCTATGGGCTTTCTTGCGACTTTCTTTATTCATACCTCACTGCAGAAGAGCAGTCATCATTATTATTGAGTCTCCTCACGAGCTGACGCTTGGCCTCGTAGCAGCGCCGGCTCATCCTTCTTTTCCTTTCTTCTTGAGTTCTATTAAAGTCTTTCATCTGGCAAGACGTATCTTTTGCTTGATGTGAGCCTCGCCGCAGCAGAAAATCTCAGAGGTCCAACAGGCTTCTTAATTTCTTCGATGAATGTCGGGTCGCATCAACACTGCCCACTCTCCTCGTGGAATGTAAGTGGAAGGCTTGCGATCATATTGCAAGACAAAGAACACAGGTACCTGTGATACTTGTTGGTCGGAAAGACAATCATAACGTGTTATTTCAGTTCAGGGAGAAAGAAATAGCCATTTACAATGAACTCGCGCTGTCTTCCGTCCTACAAGTTTTATAAATCATACCTCTTTTCCCTTATTTTTCTAATACTGGCTACAGCAGCGGACATGCTGAATAGGTCATGCTTTCAGGTGACAAAGCAGGGATCAAAGAATCCATCGGCAGTCCCTCACTAAAGAAGTACAATAATCTGATAGTAATCAGGTTACTCGTTCATGCAAATGTGAATGTTTTCAAGTACAACTTCTTTGCAGCGGATGATGTTATGGGATCGCAACTCGGGTCAAGCGCAGTTCTCCGCTGCCGCCAGTGTCCGTAACCACATCGTGCGAAATTGGAACAAACCTAGCACCAATGACGCAGTGGGGCTCGAACCCGAGTGCCAGCACAGTATTCTACCACTGAGCCACGCCGCTGCTTGTAGCATCTTCACAAACTTGCCTTACGCAGGCCTGACCTAAGCACAAATGACACAGTGCGGCTAGAACTCGGGTCCGCTTATGCTAGCCCAGTATTCTATTACTGAGCTACACCGGTGCTTGTGACTTGTTGGTCTTATGCAGGGTTGATGTCGGGAAAACAAACACGCTAGTATGACTTATAAAGCGTTTTAAAACAGGAAAAGAACAGCCAGTCGTCACATAATGCGAATAGCGTAACGAGCTAAACGTCCATGCGCCAACTCATTACAAAATCCGGTTATTGTTCGACCATTAACTGTGGCGCATACCCTCTCCAGCCATAGTTCCTGCATCGTCGTGAGCCACTGCGTGAACAGTTGGCACAAAATTCCTCGCAAGTGTTTAGCGGATACCACGCTTCTAAGAACAAAGACAAAAAATAGCTTAGAGAATGCCGCATCACTACCCAAATAAATTTATTATTGATGACCTAATGGGTATCAAGCAAGTGTGCTTGCAGTAGTTACCCAATGAGTGTTTCGAAAAGGCTGTGAAAGACCGCTCTTCTAGCTTTCGGTGTGACTGTGCTGTGCCTTCCGCGCAGCTCTTGCGCTTTTTTTTTTCATTCATCAATTGACCACAATTAAAGCAAAGAGAATGGTAAAGAATTCCAAATATGAATAACATGGGCCTTCATTGCGTGACATGGCCAAGGTAACCAGTTGATTGTTGCGTGTCTTGGAGTTAAGACTACTTGTGATATGCGTAATTTATGCGACCTCTTGGGAACAAATGCCACCCAGCCAACGCTGGTAAAAAGTCTGAAAAAAACATAACCTAAATGAAATGGTGCGAAGTGCTAGGTTCGTCAGATTCTTTACGTGGATAAGGCCTTTACCTGGATAAAACGTCGCCTTGATTCTATCGTGGTGTAAATGAACATGATACAATGTTTTCTCTTTATCTCTTTGTTATACCACGTTAAAAGATGCGCATTTACAAAGTTTCTGAGGTAGTAGTTCACATTTCTTATGTGAGAAAAGTACACCTGCTTTCCCCTTTTTCACTCGTGGGGTTCCGAAAAAAATACGCATTGCTCAAAGTCAGTTTCGCATCCGACATCGATATCTTCAACATAATTTGCAGGCATAGAAGTTCACCGAATAGATTATCCCGTTTCCCAGATGTTAACTGTGTCTTCTCGCGTTTCGCCTTGAAGTTAGATCACTTGTTAAATCAGAATTAGTTCAATTTGTGGTTACTGATTTAGTCCTCTTTTTTATTTCAGATCGTGCTGAAGCTGCAAGCTCGTATTTCAGAGTACAAGAAGGGAGCCTTAAAACCCAGCAACCTCCCCAATGATCCCTCCTCATCCCCTCATAACCATGATGGAGCGTGGGTCAGCTGGAAAGATGGGTCCACTTAATTTAAAACCCACCGTTAGAGTCGAACAATCCTAGTGATGCAATCATTACAACCTATTTCAACATCCTTTCTGCTAGAACATAATCGAAAAACTACGGTTCTGCTTTCTGCAGTTCTGGCTGCGGTGACTCACATGATAAAAATGTGGTTTTAAACATACGTTGCAATCTATCCAGCAAGGTAAGGAAATGAATGAGTAATGCCTGCTCAGCAGCCACGACAACAATAGTGAATGAAATCTTCCATGCTAGAGAGTTATTGGGGCTAGTGCAGAGGGTTCTGGCTATAACTTTGATGAGCAGTCATGATACGGTAAGGGGCCTCTCATCCTGTCTGAACATTTTGACCCGACGAGGACTATTGAAACAAACATAGTCATTCACGGTCATATCTGCTAAAATTGGGAGCAGTACGCGCTTCGGGAATAGGTCAAATTTAAAACGCCTTGCCGCTTGTCATTCCACTTGTGGCCACTCGCCCCATGATGGAGCTGATGACCTACGACAAGGAAGGGTGGTATGTGGTTATCTGTACTTTGACACAGATTCTCGACGTAAATATACATATTTATGCTCTCGCGGCACCTACAGTGTCGCGTCACTCTGCAACAATAATTCAGGATGACATGTGCAATTTCTGTAGCTGCTGCTGTGATCCATTAGGCCTAATAAAAGTTGGGGTAACTAATGAAGCGACAACCGGGATTGCTGTGGGTTTTTAAATTACATTAAATTTGGAACCACAGCAATATGCGAGACTAATCAGCCTTCTTTTCGTGTGCGTTCTTGTTCTTTCTGTTCCCGCGTCTTGCAGGCACCAGCTCTGACAAAGATTGGCCCTGAACGCTTTCATCCCCGAATTTTCGCACATGCACATATTTATGTTTCTAATTGAGTTGGAGTTACTACGACCTCAAGAACACGAAAATAATGTTTTCTAAGCATCCCTTCAGTATAAAAAAAAACAGCTCTATGTCTCGTATATAGGGAACCAAGGCTTAGCGGTTGTAAATTGAAATTTGATGAAATTAAATTCATCAACCTAATTAACCTATTAGTTCAAGTTATCGTTGTGAACCTAACGTACAGCAACCACGTATTAGTTACAGCACCTAAACTTTTCAATTGAATATCTTTGTGCTCATGATAAACAGCTGTTCAGTGCACTTAAATGACTACAGTCTACCTATTGAACGCTTTCAAAAATCCAACATCATAAAAAACTGTCGCATCCTGCTTGCAGCGCCTGAATGAAGTGCGCCCGTGTTTGGAAGGGCAAGCTGATTGAACTACTCTTCATCGTCGCCGTCTTCTACCTCCATAACGCATCATAACTATATTTCATAAAGTGAATCGAAAATCATTAGGTACTATCACGCTATTGGACAGCCCTTACATATTGTCTAAGTGATGTTGGCTGGTTTCTCGAATAGAATAACAAGAAATTGGGAGATTTAACAAGAGCTACACATCTGGATAAGCCTAAATTCATTCCAAGGTTTAACAACCACTGATCCCTGGTGTATATTTAAGTCATGAAGGTTGTTCACTGCGGCGGGGAAGACACACTTTTTAAATAGCAAGTCAAACATCACAGAAACACCAAGAAAAATACGATAGATACTGGCCCTGATTCTTGACCCAGTCATCAATGCCTTTTTATCCTCTGCATTCACTCCGTATATGCGTTATCTAATCAACGTGTGATTCATGCGGCCTCATCAAGTGTGAGGCCGACGGGACGGCTTTGTGCTCTCCGTTAAAAGAGTACGAAGTGCTCTGAATAGGTAAACACCTTTTCTTAACACAAAGTTATCCATTCAAATATGATCTGACAGTAGCCCTCGGGACAGCTTCATGCTCTCCCATAGTAGAGTACGGGGTACTTTAAATTATTAACAACTTTTTTCTAGACACACGTTAAGAGGATGGCTTTCAGCTCTCCCATTGCACAGTACGAAGTACTTTAGATCGTTAAGTGTTTTTTCTAAACACAAGCCTTGCCTGTATGCGCAACAGTAAATGACGTGAAATTCATGCCCAGCTTCACGAATCCAAGGTTGATCTCTATATTTGATGTCGTGAACTGGCCCACAGCGTATATTTTTGTCGCAGTGGCCTCAAGGCTTTATGCTTTCCCACAGTAGAGTACTAAGTACTCAAAATCGTTCAGAACTTTTTATAGACACACAAATGTTCTAAGTCGGGTTTCAAAATCACTTCACTGGTCTCTTTGCGTCATGGTTATGACGTTGTGAAAACCTACATGAGCAGCATGCAAATTGACCAACTAGATGCTAAGATTTCTACGTTGTAGAGTCTCAGAAGTTCAACCTATTACCTCTCGATCACTGCCAATAGAAAGCCACCAGGCATCAACATGGTGGAATGTTATGGGATATGCCTTCAGGCATCAACATGTTGGAACAATTACTAAGGGTGCTGTAGGCACTAAACACCGATAGACATCATGCATCAATGCGAAATAAAAAAACTCACAGTTTAGCCACAAGGGCAAAGCATTCAATGCGCTAGCAACAACTATGAATGTTACGGCGAGAACGCGAAGAACAACTAAACGTGCAGCGCGCTGCTCAAGCACAAAGGACGCACCAAAAAAACAACACACGTGGTATGAGAGCTAACTGACAAGGTTCAGAGCTGGATACGTAACGTGCTGTTTAAACAAAAACGACGCACGGAACGCAATCACAGATACAGATATGAGTGCGCACTAACAAGTGACCCAGTTGCTACCTCGTGGTGGTAGAAAAGCGTGTTCTTTTCGCAAACAGGGCCTCTTTGGAGAGCGAAATGATCTTAGTCTGCCCGGCAAAAAAGTGGCCCCGTATCTGCATGTATACTACAAATGTCGTCGAAATACGATAGTCTTGCGTGTGGAGAGAGTGGACAAAACATTTATTATATGTTTTGCGCAAGAAAATCAGCGAATGGTATTCCGGAGGCGCTCGTTACAGTGCCTCGAGCGTGCAGCGGAGGCGAAAGACCGCATCAAGTCACGTCACACGTGAGACATGAGCGCCATCTGGCAGTTTTATGTGGAAAACAAAGCGCGTGGCCCTGAGACGGGCGTGCGCACCCGTCTCTGAGGTTATAAGTTGTAGAACGCCAGGCGGCGGGTAGGTGCCAACACCATGTCGTCTTAGCAAAGCGTTGGAAACACTCGCTTCTTTGTGCAAGCGTTGCATGTTCAGCGCAGCGTGATAAGCGCTACGGTCCTTAGAATTACTTATGTATGCCTTTTCTAGTAAAATACGCACATGCAGAATATGTACGTGTTTTATGGTGCCCCAGACATGCGCAATAATTGCTTTTTAATTGAAAATTGCACACGTATGAACGCTAATTTTTGAGCAACATTGGTGGGCGCTGCGGAAGGGGTCGGCCGTTTGGTGTATCGGCTGGTGCTGTTTAGAGTACCTGGTTCACGGTAACGAAAGACAGACAAGTTTACAGACAGACAGATCAATGTTTTTGCGTCGAAGGTTCCCAAGAAAGACTATCGTCTTTAATGACCGCAAGCGCTCCGGTTATAGCCAAAAGCTAGTGATTCTCCTCCACCACAGGATAGGTGCACGGATAAAGTCCCTTCCCTCCACGGAGCAAACTCGCATCGGGGATGAGCGCGCATCGGCGCTACGCGACGAACTGGGCGCTTAGCTTGACACCAAGTGCGCTTATTTCGCCATCTCACTGGTAATGCTGAAAACGTGCTAAATCCCACCAAGATAGGCGCCGCTAGCGCTACGTGGTAGATATAACCAGCTTTCCGTTTCAACGTCGAAAAAGGTGCTCCTTCCTGGTGTTGCATATACATATGCTGACTGTGTCTAAATAATGCTTTGTGTACTAAAGAAAATAGAGGACACTAAACTTGCTTTTTTGTGTGCTAAAGGAAATAGAGGACACTAAACTTGCTTTTTATACTCACGTGAGTGGAAATACAAAAAATGATAGAAGGGAAAAGATGGAAACTTGCAGTGAAAAATCCGTAAACAGAGGTTGTGTCGAGCCGACATTTAGAAGGGTGGACTTGTCCTCAAGGCAAGAACAGCGCTGATTTTTTTAGCGCTACTGTGTCTACAATTTGATACCCACTCCTCCATCCTAACAAAGAATGGGAAGGGCCCACATTGGATACACGGGTGTCAGGGGGCGGGAGATGGGGAGTTTGTTACAAATTGTGTGAGTGAAGAAGGAACAGGTATTTCATGAGAAAAAGCTGTAGGAAGTTGAGGATATACACGTATCGTGGGGTCAGGTTGTCAGACCAGTTGTCACAATTTTACAACAGCAGGTTTGAAATTTCTCTGCGGACGGCTTACCTCGCAGTGGTTTTGTTTGTGTATGCACCATGCCAACTTGATTTAAGGGCACCTACAAAAGTGTTTATACCTATTGGCTGTAGGGTATTCCACTTATGAATAATGTACGACTCTGTATATTGTTAATAATTTACGACTTCTGCGGACCGGGAGTCCAACTTCCGGTCCGCAAGAAACAGAAACTTCCTGTTCGCATGAGACATAAAATCATACAGCCGGATCAACAACCGGGACCCCACGACACCTGTACATCCTCAACTCCCCAGAGCTTTTTTTTTCTCGAAATACCTGTTCTTTCTACTCTCACAAAACACGTCACAGCACTCACTCTTGCCCGCTCTGGCACCCCCGCGTATCCAATGATACTCCTTCCGCTGCTTCGTTAGCATTGATGAGTGAGTATAAAACGCTGACGCGCTAGCGATAAAGAATTCAGTTCTGTTCTGGCCTTGAGGAAGACCAGTCCGCTTGTCAAAAGGTCGGCTTGACACAAACCCTGTTTACCAATTTTTCATCACAACCCTCCATCTTATCCATCCTACCATTTTTTTCGATGGCCACAGACGGAAGATGACGAAACAAGGTGAGTGTCCTTTACTTTCGCTAGCTTTATTGGAGAGAGTCAACACCAGTATTACAACACTTTCCGTAAGGGCAACATGCACCACACTTTAGGTTTAAAAGCAGAGCCATGACACATTACCCGAAAGATTTTATCGCCGCGCCACCATGGTACATAACGCCTTT